CTCTTGTTATGGGGCACTGGCACCCCTGGCCTCTGCAGGGACGTGACAGCGGCTTTGAGTTAGACTGCAGTATTTGCTACCAAACCTCACGCACACAGATCCAACGCTAAAATAATGAATCCTGCATTTTATTTTCTATGAGGTTAACAGGAATGGAGTTACTTCCCTCATGTCAATTTGGGGGGACAAAAGCTCAGGAAAAGAGAGTTCCCTGTATGAGGTGGCCCTGCAGTAGAGGAACAGAAAGGGTAGTTGTGGGGTGGGCCTGGGCCCATGCCCTCCTCCTCTGAAGGTCTGGGGAGGCCGGAAGCTGCTTCCCGGCAGGCAGGGGAATGGGCACATTGACCTCTGAAAAAGGTGACCTGGGCCACTCCTTCCTTGATCCTGGGTTGGACCACTCCCTCCCCTGCTCCTTCCCTCCTACAACTCCCCAGGAGGGAGCTGGCCTACTGAGGAGACCGGCAGACGGACAGGCTTTGACACCCAAAGTTAAAGCCAGGCAGACCTGGGTTCAAATGTCTGCTGTAACCTGGTGATCTTAGGTAGGGCATGTGACCATCCTGAGCCTCAGTTTCCTCATCTGTAAATAGGACTTCATCATGTGGGACCTTGGAGAGGATTGAGGCACTGGGACCTGAAATAGCAGCTTTAGTCACCTGGCGGAGTGGATTGTTGGTCCTGGGGGACCAGGAACTGCTGAATGGGGCCTGCTGGACAGAATCTGAGGCTGTGTCTTGGTCGGTGGGGACTTCACGCTGAGCTGGGCTCTCTCCTGACGTGGTGTCAGCATAGAGACGGGGCAGGAGCACCCGAAAAACCACATCCTGCCCTTGAATGGCTTGTGCAGAGGAAATACAGGTCCTTCCTCAGCTGCAGCCTGCCCCTAGGAAATTGCTGTGTGCGTGTCTACACCCGGGTGTGCATGAGTTGAAGAGACAGACCTGCGACAGAGACAGACAGATGGGGGAGAAGGGTGCAGGCTGTGTGAGCCCCAGTTTCTCTGTATATTTGTGTGTGACATTGCCTGGATGTGCGTTGCTGTGTGTGCCACATCTTACCACATAGGTGTGTGTCCAGCAGTGAGTGTGTGTTTGTGATTCCAGGTGAGATGTGTCTATGGGAACATCTGAGTGTGTGTGTGTGTGTGTGTGTGTGACATCCTGGCGAGTGAAAAATGTCTGCTGATATGTGTCCGTGTCTGAGAGAGAGACGGTATGCCTGTGAGTATCTGTGTGGGTCAAGTGTATCAGTCAAGGACTTGGGTGTGCATTCGTGTTTGTTGGGGACAGCGTGTGAGTGTGAGCCTGGCAGTGCGTGTGTGACTGCATGAGGAGACTGGGTCAAGGTCTCAGCACTGAGAATGCGTTTGAAGTGTGTGTGACAGCGTGAGGTCCCTGTGCCTGTGAGAAGGTGTGCGTAGTCTGCCTTCCCCTGCCCGTCTGTTCTGACAGCCAAAACCCATCACAAGAAAAAGTGGAGAAAAGGGAGGGAGAGACCTGGCAGCTGCACCTGGGCCACAGAGGGGGGAGCAGGATTAGGGAGCTGGGAAGTGGTAGGGAGGAGGACCTGGGAGGAGACCCCGGGGGGCCTGAAGGGCCGGAAGTTCCAGTTGGCAACTTCCGGAAAGGTGTCTTTGGAGCTCCCTTCGTCCTTCTGAGAGGCCCTGCCTTCCTCCCTTCTCCCTCTGCGGTGCCCAGAGAGACAAAGGTCTCCTTCCTCTGCCCCAGTGCTTCCAGAAGAGGAAAGGATCTGGTAGCCGTATTCGCCCTGAGGAATAGGAGGCCCTTTTCCAGTTGGGGCCAGGTCTTGGGGAGGGAGTGCCTTCTGGTGTTGGAGAGCCCACTGCTTCGAGAGTTTCCTCTCCCTGCGCGTCTTCCTTCCCACACTGCTCGCTTGCTGTGCAGGGACTGGCAAGCCACCTATTTATCCGCGGTGTCTGAGAATACCGTGCCCACTGATGAGGAAACTGAGGCCCCAGAAGACTAAATGTGTCCCACGCTAACAGATAGTGCCGGGATACGAACCACAGACTTGTGACTCTCAGTCCGGTGCCCTGCTCTGCAGACCACACCCCCGGCTCCTGAATCTGAGGGGTGCCCCTCCTAGTTGCCGCCTCTCACCGGGCATTGTCCCCTCTTGCCTTCTCCCACTCAGAGCTGTTCCAGGAAGCCTGGAAGACCCAATTCTAAGAGCTGCCGGCCTTCCCCAAGTCTGGGCCTGTGTCTGGGCAGCGGGGAAGACACCCTGGCAGACAGCCCTGCCCCTGGGGGGAGAGCCCAGGCCCCCGCCTGCTTCACTTTGCCACCAGCTGGACTTGCTGCTGGAAGATGTCACAGATTCAGCAGGGTGATTGCTCCTGGGCCATAAAATGTATTAGGTTCTTCCTTCTAGAAGTAAAGGCGGGGTGGGGCCCCGAAATGCAGGGAGTGAGGCCTCCCTGTTCCTTCCACTCTGCCCTCTCCCCTGAGAATCAGAGACCCTAAGAGCACTGCGTGGACTGAGCTCTGGCCACCTGCCAGGGGAGTTCCAAGCCCTAACCGTGGTGCTGTGGGGTCTGTTGTTCCCATTCCCACATGTATAAACTGAGGCTAGAAGTTAAAACTTGCACAGACTTGCCCAGGATCGAGCCCATCTCTGAGCTCAAAGCTGGAGCTGTTTGCCCACCACCATGTCTGGGACACCCAGGCGGGCTCCAGCCTCTCACCCAGCCTCAGCCCAGATGACAGCCTTGTATCTATCTGTCCCTCCATTCTCCTCCTGTCCCCATGTTCCCATGTTCTGTGCCTTGGTCCCAACTGTGCCCTCCTGCTGCAGTGCCATCCTCCTTCAGCCAATCAGGCCTCCCCCTTCATCCCAGGGCCCCAGATCTCCCTGAGACCTGCTCCAGCCACTCCCAAGGCCTGCTTTTCAGCTACCCCATTTCCTGCAAAGCATTTGAGCCCCAACACCCAGCAGCCTCCGTTCATCTTCCCACTCCCCACCCACAACTGCCGCAGCCCATGTGCGCTCCTCAGGGGTCCCAGAGGCCAGAGATCCAGGCGGTTCTGCTGCCTGCGTGCAGATCAAGCTTTGGGGGTGAGGCTGAGAGTGATCGTGCAGAGGTCCTGAGCCGGGCTGGGAAAAGAACGGGCAGCCCTCCCACTGAGCGGGGAGATGTGGGCTCATCCCCCGGGAGCCCCAGGCTCCCTGCAGTTTACTTCCTCACCGCTCAGAGTTGGTGATAGAACCAACTGTTTGGAGCCCCCTGGAGGTGGGTGGCCGGGCTGACCTCCATGGTGCTGTCCCTGGGAGTCGCGGAGCCCAGGCTCCTTCCTGCTGCCTGTCTGGACACACCTGCTGCCCGTTCCCAGCCGCGGCCTTGCTTCCTGCCAGTTTTCCTACCGAAAACAAATACAGTGAGGGGCTCTCTCCCCGTCCCTCTGCCTGCTCAGCACCAGCAGCTGCTGCGCGGAGAAGAGACCTTTTGCAGGTAAAAGGGGCGAAGAGAGACGAAGGAGGCGGCCAAGAGGCAAGACGGATCCACTAGGACTCTAGTGTAAACTGCCGCCCCCTCAGCTGTAGTTACAATCACGACGTGGCCTTTGCGGTTGGTATAATTGATTTCTTTTTCTCCATCCTCCTCTCCCCAAATACAACACTCCTGCTGAATTTTGCTCTCGGAAGAGCTGTGTCCTTCAAGAAGGCTCTGGCGACTCATTTCAAGGATGCTCTCGGGGCTCAGAGCAAGCCCCCCACAACTTCCGAAGCGTTCTAGGTGGCTAAGGACGGCTGTCTCACAAGCCCTGACTCACCCCGGACCCAGGCAGGCTCACTGAGAAACTTGGTCCCTTGTGTGCTTCAGAGTTTCAGAGCTTTAGTCAGGGGCGCAGGCTTCTGAAAAAAACCCTGATTTAATTTCCGTGCACGTGTACATGTTTGTGATTTCAAAAAGTAAATTTTTGTTTTAAATTATGTATATACCCTAAATTGTAGAGAAAGGGCTCTCTGGTCATTTCAGCCGCAGCAGCCTCTACATGAGGAATATTTAAGGTCGTTTAGGAAAATATGGAAATAAAAAAACATCACAGCCTCAAGACGTCGCCAACGGCACTGTGCAGAAATGAGCGGAAGGGACAGTTCAGGGGAGGGGTGTGGGGGGCTGTGTGCTCAGCAGCCAGTTCTGGACCTTCCCTAACCCACTCAAGGGGAGGACCCCGCCCATTGCAGACGGAAGGCCAGTGTTCTGGAACCTTCCTGACTTCTTCCTCCCCGTCCTTGGGATGACGCCTGCTCCTGGCTTATAGAGATGCTGGCTGGATCCTGGATCTGTGTTGTGTTCGAGGGGAGCACTGGGGGTTCCGCTGCTCTCCTGTACCTGTGACTGCGTTTGCGGTAGGGATGCTAACGGTGGACATCCAGGCTCTGTCTGCTGCACCAGATGCCACCACATCCCAGATCTCAGTTCCCCAGCAAGCCACCAGGCTCTGCTTCCCGAGGTGCTGTGTGCCCTTCATGGAGTTCCTGGCCCACTGTGCCCTCCCTCTAGAAGGAGTTCTAGAAAGGTTCCAAGTGCAGGCAGCCCCCAGGCAGGCTGACTAGGTGTCAGGAGAAAGGGAGCCTCAGGCAGTGACCAAGCGGTGACCCTCAGGAAGTCTCTTCCTCGGCCAGGACGGATGACACCATGAATGAGTCACACACTCCCGCCTCCCCTTCACCCACGCACCCCCTGGAAACATCCATTCTGTAGCAATGTTCTGGGTACCTGTGACCCACCAAGCTATGCACGGTCTCCGGGAGGGGAACAGATGTCAGAGGCTGCGCCTGAATCCCCTGTGCGACAGTCACTTGTTCCCTCCCCTTTCAGAGGTGACATTGGTCGTACTGGGCATTGGCCAAGTAAGGTTTGTGCTCTGAGGTCTCCTGGAGCTCAAGAAATCCAGAGCGTAGGGGGTGACAGGGAGGAAGGGAAGGGCTGGCTGGACCCTTAGCGCCCCCACTTCTGCTCCCCTCCCTCCACCCAGGGTGCGACCGTGTCCCTGTCGGAGACAGTGCAGAAATGGCGAGAATACCGACGCCAGTGCCAGCGCAACCTGACAGAGATGCCACCCCCAGCCACAGGTGGGTCCGGGTGGGGCCCAGCCAACTCTTAGAAGGCTTAGGTGGGCCCCAAGTGCATGGCTGGGCACCAGGTTCCCGTCTGGGACACCACACCTGCCCTGTGCCTCCATCCCGGGCTAGCTGTCCCCTCACCTGAACACCTTCCGTCCGCTTTGCACCTGTCCTGAATCCTCAGGTCCTTTAAGCCCAGCTCAAGCACTTCTTCCCCAAGGACTCTTGTCTTGGGCCCTTGACCGTTTGCGGTCAGCTCCAGGGCTGCTGTCTTGTCCATCCTACCCCTAGCGTGAGCCTTTCAGAGTAGGGACCTGGCCTTTCCCCTTTGTGTCCTCCTTAGCCCATCCCAGCCTGTGCATGGACTGATGGCCCAACAGAGCGAAGAGTACACGTTAGCAGGGTGTGGTGTGCATGCCTGTAGTCCCAGCACTCTGGGAGCCTGAAGCGGGAGGATCACAGGTTTGAGCCCAGCAGGGGATATCGATGTCTTACAGAGAAGGACAGTTCTTGGCATATAGTAAGCACTCGTCAGGGGGCAGCAGGGTACAGCTCCACGGTGATTAGGGCTGGTGGGGAGAGGAGGAGAAACACCTCAGCCCGGCACGGGCGGGCACTCAAGGACTCTTGCCATCCCCCACAGGCCTGTTCTGCAATCGGACCTTTGATGACTACGCCTGCTGGCCAGATGGGCCACCAGGCTCCTTTGTGAACGTCAGCTGCCCCTGGTACCTGCCCTGGGCCAGCAGTGGTGAGTCTGCCACCTTCCCTGTATCCTGGAGGCAGAGGTCCAGTAGGGGACACTGCTTCCTTGCCCTGAGACACTGCTTGGGCCGTTTCAGAGAGTCTTTAGGTGTCCTAGCTGTGGGCAGGTGTTGGCAGGTGTTGGGGGAGTGTGGGGTCTGACTTAGGACAGGAAGGTGACTCCCTCTGACCTAGTAGTTGGGAAAGAAGCCAGGTGGGAGCAGATGGGGTACACAGGGGTGTCCTTAGTCTGGGGTGAGTGTGTGTGACATGTGTATCCAGGTAGTCCTTCCTGTCTGCTTCCTGACTGTAGGGGTTCATGGGGAGCCGTGGTTCAGTGTTGGTGGCATGGCCCCTGCACTGGGAAAGGTAACTAGGTAGGTGGGAAGGGAACAGAGATCTATAGAGGCTGTAGGGGATGCCCTGACTTGAAGGGTGACTAGTATGCCCCCACCCTGTCTCTGTCCCAGCCTCCTGTGCTGAGGCTGGGTAGGGGGTGGTAACGGAGTCAAGAAGCTTTGCCAGGAGGTGCTGGGTCTCCATAAAGGGAGAAAGACACTTCTTACCATAAAATGTATCAATAGTGTTTATTGACACAGTCCTGTCCTAAAAGCAGAACACTCCTTTACCTTTACAACTACTCCATGCTTATGCTTCTTGTCCAGATGAGGAAACAGGACCCAGGAGGTTTAAGTTGCTTGTTCCAAATGAGGTGGGATTTGAACCTGGCTTTGCCCTTACCTCGGAGAACCTGACCCCAAGCAGAACCCGGCCCACAGGCAGCAGTGAGAATGAGGTCGGGCTGGGCCAAGCCGGGGGTCTTCCTGGAGGAGGTAGCCCCACAGGGCCTGACGTGGGCTTCATCCAACCTCGGTCCCTCTGGCAGAGGTGAGGTGCACAGGGGCAGCCGGGGCCCACAGAGAGACAGGCACCGGGCAGGCCTTGGAGCGCAGGAGTGGCCCATCTCACCACTGTGCGCCTGTACCTCATCCAGACTTCCAGCCACTCTCTGAGGCAAGTGATCCCATTGTGCTCCCATTTCCAGATGAGGAAACTGAGGCACAAGGATGCCAAGTGGCTTTTTTAAACTCCCAGGGCTGGTGAGTGGCGGGCCCAGGCATCCCAGGCTTACAGTCACTGAGCTCTATTGCTACACTTCATTTCCTAGAGGGGTGGTGCCTGTGTGTGTGGCTCTGGCCTGGGGACAGGTGAGTGGCCTGGATGACCTCTGCTGACTGCCACACGCCTAAGGAGATGCCAGGAGCCCTGCAATCTACTGGCTCCACGTGGCCTGACTGGCTGTGTGAGCAGAAGTTCCCAGACCTCTCTGTGCCTGCTTTGCTCCCTGGGGAGGTTGTAGCTCCGTGAGAGAGGGTAACTGTCCGCGTTTCCCTCCCGCCCTGCGTACCTCTGCCTCTGCCATGTGCACACACCTGCCCTGCCTCTCGCAGACTGGGGACCACCACTTGGCCAGCCCTCACTGGGCCTCTAGACCCCAGGGAGCCAGACAGGGGACAGGGCCCATCACTCAGCGCTAAGCGCCCCCAGCTCTGCCTGCTGCTTGCGGCTCCATCCATCACCTTTAATTTTATTTGAGCAGGAAATAGGTCCTGGTGGTGCCCGTTTATGAGCGAACACGGTTTTATTGCTTTCTCCATGAAGATAACGGCCTCTGCACAGGCCCCCTGCCAGCTCCTCCCCCTCCCCCTCGCCAGGCTAATTTACTCCCTTCCTGACACTCGGAATCACCAAGTCTGCCTCCTCTCTCCCTGAGTTAGGGACCTCAGAGATATCCACTGGGCTTCTGAGGCATAATCACCATCTCCAGCCTGGCGCCCCCTCGGCAGAGGTGTGTGGCACTGGAGCCTCCCTGGCCCACCCCCGCCATGTGGAAGCAGATTGGGGGCAGTTGTGGAGCTTCCTGGGTCCCTAAAGGGGGCCAAGTAGGTATATGGTGTGCTGAGGACCGCCATGCTGGAAAGCTTTAGCACCTCTAGGCCTGAGAAGCCAGGGGCAGGAACGGGGTCAGGGGTCCACCTGGCAGCTGGAGCTTTGATGGAGAAGCCACCGGCAGGCCCGTGGCCGCAGAGAGGTAAGTCCACTGCGGGAACCTCCGCACCCAACAGGGAGGCAGCGGGGAGAAATGACCCAGCCCGGGTCTTCGAGCTGAGTGCCGCTCACTGCCCCCAACCAGCAAAGGACAGGGAACTGAGTGACGCTGTCCCCAGGGCCAGCCTTCTGGGGTGCAGAGCTGGGCAGAAGAGTGGCTGCTCTGAGAAAGAATCAAATTCAGAACAATTGCCAGAGTCCTAGGCTGCGTCTTCACCAGGAGCTCAGGGTGCCCTGAGACCTCTGGGATGTAGAGTGTGCTGAGGAGAAGCTCCCGAGATGCTGAGGTGCCGAGGAAGGTCAGAGCCATCGTGGGCCTGACCCATGGCCTTGGGAAGGCTTCCAGGGACAGGTGACACCAGGGTCAGGCCTGGAAGAACTGGCAGCTGCAGAAGGGAGAAGGGCTGTCCGCGGAGGGAGGGAGGAGTGACATTCAGGTGGCACCTTGGGCACGGGGCCGGGCCTCAGGCCTCAGAGCTACACAATGTCCCAGGGAGGCCAGCGAAGCCCTGGAGTCCTGAGCCCTGGAATTGTGAACTTGGGGGTCAGGATGGTGCGGAGAGGGTGGGAGCAGGTGAGTGGCAGGAGGACAGTGTTCCCAGGAAGCTCCCGGGGACGCAGGATGGGGTGGGGAGGATTGAGGGCCTTCCCGCCCTTTGGGTGCCCGAGGGGGAAACCAGCAGCCTTGTTTACTCACCAACAGCTGATCTACTTGTTGCAAATCATTCTAGCCTCATTAGCTGCCCCTCTCCTGATTTCTACCTGTTTGTTAGCTTAGTTCTAATTATATGAGAGTCATAAAAAGCTTTTAAAATAGTCTATAATTCACAATTTGGAAACTCTGACAGGTGCCTCCTCTAAGTAATATTGAGCCGGGGAGTCCTTACGGCAGCCCAGGGTTACCAAGGGGAGACTGAGGCCCAAGCTGGGGCCCAAGGAGCTCCAGCCGGAGCGGCATCCTCAGCGGCGGCTCTGGCCTCGGTGAGAAGGCGTGGGGGACACAGGGTCTCCACTGTGGCTGTGTTTTGAAAGCCTGCTGTGCACCAGGAACTTCCTGTGCTTTATCTCTTCAGAAAGGGTCCCCTTTTACAGACGAGAAACTGAGACCTGGGAGGGAGAGTGAGCCATGCGGGGTCCTGCAGCTGCTTGAAGGCGGAAGCAGAATCTGAACCTGAGTCCCTGGGCTCCGCCCCCTGGCTCCTCCCCCTGATCTCCGCGGGCGCCTTCATTGGCAGTCTGCCGCTGCGGGGAGGAGCGGCGAGCAGGCTCTCTGAGTCTCAGCGTCCCTGTCTGTAGAATGGGGCCCGGCAGGTCTTGCTGCCACCTCTGTTGCCACGGTGCGGGAGCTAATGGATTCATGAACAGCTCTCCACAGCCCTGAGTGCCCGCGTCCACGTGGAAGGGCGGCTATTAGCTTGATTACAGAGGCCGAAGCAGTTTCCGGGAGGGGAAGTGTTTAATTGGGGGTTTTATTTCCAGCACCAGGGGCTGACTTAATGAAATATCCCTGGGCCTCCTGGCACGCGGCTGCCCGGTGCCACCTCTTGTTGACAAGCGGAGCCAAGCCCCTGGCTGTGATTGGCCAGCTCCTCCCAGGCCAGATAAAGCTGGGCTGATAAGCAGGGCTGTGCCCGGACCCAGCCCACCTCCAGCCAGGATGGGCGCCTGGGGACCGCGGGCTCCTCCGGGAGCCAGCCCTGGCTTTTAATATTTGATGCTAATGGAGGGTAACTGACAGATGCACCCACACAGGCTGGCTTAGCTCAGGGACACAGCAATCCCTCGACTCTGTGCCAGGACTGCACACGTCTGTACCCACCTCCCCAGCTGGCTCTGAGCAGAGGGCCCAGGACCGTGCCAGAAGCCAAGGGCCACACTGGCAAGGGGACCTGCTGGGAGGGGCCGCATGGTGGGAAACCCAAGCCCCGAGGAAAGGCAGAGGAGGAATGGCACATGGTCACTGTTTACCTAGCAACAAGCTGGGCTGCTAACTTGGCCTCTGGAGGCCAAGAGGTACAGTTAGAATCTTCACTGTGCTATTTCCTAGCTGGCTGATCTTGGGCAAGTTGCATGGCTGCTTAGAGATTGTGTTTCTTCATCTGTAAAATGGGATGAACAGAGCCAAGCTCACGACATGGTTGTGATGTACAAACCACAGATTCAAAAACAGTCTGTGACCACACAGCGAGCAGAGCAGCTGTGAGCGAAACATGTAGGAGAGGTCCTGCAGTTGCAGCGTGCCTGATCTATGCCAGGCCGTGTGCCAGCTGTGGGAAGCCACACCGCTGTGGGCGGATGGCTTGCGTGCCAGAAGCTCCATCGCTGTGTTGTCGTCCTTCCCCTGGGCCCCCTGCCTCCCTGCTTTCTCCTCCCTTCCTGCCATCCAGCTGGGCTACCAGGCCACGCTCTGACACCAGTTTCATTCCCCATGGAGTCAGCCCGAGTCTCTATATCTGCAATCAAAGACTGATTTTGCTGCCCATCCGAAGACTTGACCCCAGTAGAGAATTTCAAGCATCCATGAAGCAGATAAGAGAGGCATCTGGGCGCCTGAGAGGCTCCCTTCGAGTTGCTAAAATCAGACACGTGCCTGCCCCTCTTCTCTGCCTCCCTACAGGCCTGATTTTGTTAGTAACTCCCAGCGCTCAGCGCACTGCCGTTCCCCACCGGAAGTTCCACCGTTAGCTTTTTAGGTTTTCGTCTGTCTTCCAGGTGAAGTCTTAAAAGGCAGTTTGTCCCGAGGAAGTAATGCTGCAAGCTGATTTGCCTGCTGTGTGCCCAGCTTACCCTTTCTCTTGGAGAAGAACCTTGTCCTTAAAAGAAGGGAGAGGGCAGAGAGAAAGAGCTGGGAGGCAGCAGGTGCTGGGTGACAAGGACAGGGCCCCGCTGACAGGCCCCGCTAGTGCACAACAGACCCCGATGTAAAGGTCTCCCTGCCGACAAACCAGGGCTCGGGATCTGTGTAATGGAGCCCCCGGCCTGGGAGGGAGCCCCTGGGGACCCTGATGCGTGGGCTACACATGGCCACGAGCCTCTTCTCACTGCTAATTGTCCATCTGGACACTGACCAGCCACTGCCACCCAGGGCCTCTGGTGGCTTCTCCTTTCTCCTTTCCTCCCACAGTCCAGGAAGCTATTCTTTAAAATCCTTTCAGTCTTTTTGAATTTAAAATCCTTTTAAAATGTGTTCTGGGCCTCCGGCTTCCCTCCTTGATTCCCCTAGGCCAGGCCCCCTCCCCTCCGCCTCTTGTTCCCGATGCCCTGGCCTTGGTGCCCAACTCTGGTCTCCTGCAGGGAGGTAAGGAATGGGGCATCTCCTCCTAGAAAGCATTCTCCTGGCCTCACACGAGCCTGGGGCCACAAAGCCCCCCATCTCTCTGCATAGGGAGGCAGGGGGAAGAAGGGAGGCTGCCACAGCAGCAGCGTATCCAGGTGGGATGACAGTGGTCTCAGGTGATGTCCCACTACCAGTTCTTCTGCGGTTGTGTTTGTGGCACTCCTTTCTGAGGACTTCTTTGGTTTTTCTGTGAGAGTCTTGATTCCATATTCAGAGTCCCAGAAGGACTGCTGGATTGCTTCCCTCTCTCAGGCTAGGAGGTCTCCAAGGGCAATTTCCACCTTCAGCATATGACTAGGGGTTACTTGGAGATAGAAGCTTGCTTTTCCTTCATAAGGGGAGAATTTCTAAGAGCAAAGACTATATCTGCCCCATGAGACTGTGTGTTCCTTTCAGAGCAGGTGGTTTTTCAAAGGAAATCTGTCTCCTTATCAGATGGGGACTCCCTGAGGATGGGCTGTGTCCCCTTCCAGTGAGGGCTTCCTGAGGACAAGGCTGCGCTTTCCTCAGACCAAGGTTTCCTGCAGTTCCGGCCTTGTTGTCCTTCAGACTGAGGATCCCTGAGGACAATACCGTGTCTCCCTCAGACCAAGACTCCCTGAGGATGGGGCTGTGTCTCCCCTCAGACTGGGGCTCCCCTGGGTGGGGTTTCCTGAGGACACTGCCGTGTCTTCCTCGGACTGGGGCTCCCTGCGGATGGGGCTGTGTTTCCCCTCAGACTGGGGCTCCCCGAGTTGGAGCTGACTCACCCCCTTTCTCTCAGCTCTGCAGTACCAGCGTTGTTCTCAGGGTCTGTTCACCCCCAAGGAGTGTGAGAGGGAGATGAGTGCTGAGTCTGGAAAATCAGGGGTCGCAGAGAGTGGCTGTGGGCCTGCCAGAGCCATTTCTGTCCAGCGCCGGCCCTTGTCATAGTGTGATGTGAGGCTGGATCCGGACTAAACCGACCTCATCTCAGAGATGTAGGTTCAGCCAGCTGCAGTCCCAGGTGATCGAGAGGGAGAGCCTAGCGATGACCCCCTGTCCCATGTCCGGGCCATCGTGGTGTGTGTGTGTGTGTGTGTGTGTGTGTATCTGTAGAGGGGTCCAGCAGGTCACTAACTCGGAAGCATCAGTTCTGGGAGAGCAAGGGTCACCGTGAGGCTGGAGAGGGATGGGGGCTCCAGCATGGGGCGGGCTGCCGGCCCTGAGCCGAGACTCAGCTGCGCGTCTTCCCACCCAGTGCTGCAGGGCCATGTGTACCGGTTCTGCACCCCAGAGGGCCTCTGGCTGCACAGGGACAACTCCAGCCTGCCCTGGAGGGACCTGTCGGAGTGTGAGGAGTCCAAGCGTGGGGAGAAAGTGAGCTGAGCGGGGGTTCTTGCCTGGGAGGGGGCTGTGGGGTCTTTGCGCTGTGGGCCCTGGCTGTGGGCATCTCGTCCAGCCCTGTCTGTGGGTTTGCACACCTTGCTGTGTGGACACAGTGGTGTGTGTTCACCACTCTGGCCTTCAACTGGACCCCAAAAGTCCCAGGAGCATCTCCACAGATACTACCTTTCTTGGTTCTGGAATCCCAAGTGGGGTCTGGGCTGGGGCCCCACCTCTGCCCCTGGGCCCAGGAAGGAAGAATGTGGGGAAGAGAGGGCCACGCGTGGGGTGTGCCACATGCATACTTGTGTCCCTGTGTGCACACAGAGCTCCCCGGAGGAGCAGCTCCTGTCCCTCTACGTCATCTACACAGTGGGCTATGCACTCTCCTTCTCCGCCCTGGTCATTGCCTCCGCCATCCTCCTCAGCTTCAGGTAAGGGGATCTGCAGCTCAGAGGAGGCTGCCTTCTGCTTACACTCTCCCAGGGAGAGGCGGGAGCTCAGCACCAACATGCCAGTGCAGCAGGTCCTTCTCTCCAAAGCCCAGGAGGCTGAAGACAGGACAGGGTGCTCTGTACCCAGTGGGCTCTCTGCTGGGTGCCCAGGTGCATATATACTGCAAAAAAGTACTCCCCCCGCCCCCCTGCCAGCCTGCTTTACCAATGCGTGGAAACTCTGGGGACCCTCTTCGGTGAGCAGAAGTGATTAAAAATTCAATATAAATTTTAAAAAGATTCAGTGATTAGGGATTCTGCTCTCTTTGCAGCTTGATAGCCTCAGTGGAAAAGTTCTTCCTGAGGTCAAATCTAGATGAGACCCTTCTTCTGGAGTCAGAGCTGGGGAGCGGCTTCCTCCCACTCCTGGGCTGCACGGAGAGAGCGGGGTTCTGGGGCAGGAAGAGTTCTGAGGGCAGGGACCTCAGGACACCAAGTAGCAGGGGCAGTTCCTTCTTTTTGTCCTGAGGAATCTGGCACAGTACTGGCCATACAGTCAGTGCTCAATAACTGCATTTATTGGATGAATAGTGTCTTACTATGAATTAGTTCAGGATTCAGAGGGGACAAAGCATTATGCTTCCCTGGCGACCCTGTCCAGCCAGGTCCCTTTCCCTGCCAACCCCCACCACTAAGCCCTGAATTTGCCTCTTGTAATTCCTACCCATTTCCTTAGCCTTTTACCATATTTGCAAAGTGTCTGTAAAAATATACAGCATGGTCTTGTGTGCTTTTCACAGTAGGATATACCCTCTTTGAGTCTGTGGCTTTTTTTTTTCACTCTTTATGCACAGAAGTTCTGCATTTTTTTTTTAGTTCTGCATTTTAATATAACAAAATTGGTCAGTTTACCATATGTGCTGCCAACTGATAAAAAAAATTAGTTTTGTCAATTGATTAAAAATTATTTTTTCCAAAGACTACACTTCTTTATGCTCATCCTTAAGAAATCTTTCCTTATATTGGGAGTCACGAACATAATCACTTATTTTTTCTTCTAAAAAGTTGTAGAGGTTTGCTCTGCTTCTTATGGTCCTCTGACCCACCGTAATTTTTCACCATTATTTTTGTGTATGATGAAAATTGGGGATTTAATAATTTAATTTGTTTTCTCCGTATGTACATATAACTGATTGCCTCCATACCATCTAGTGATAACCCCTCCTGTCCCTCGTGGTTATTCTACCATGCATCAAGGCTCCATGTATTTGTCGGTTGCTTCCTGTCATTTATACCCTTTCAATTGTCCCTGTTCCAAAAGCATGGTGCCTTATCTCCTAAAGACTTATTAGAAACTTTACTTGTCCTATAGCAAGAACCTCTTTCATGTGGTTCATGGGATGTGGACTATTCTTGGCCCTTGGCGCTCCTTTAAAAGTTTTTAAAGTCCCTTGACCAAAAAAAGTTGGAGCTTTCATTGCAGCTGCATTGAATTTATTCATTAATTTTGGGAGAACTAATAAACTCCTTCAGGATAGTGAGGATTTCTGTCCATAAATGCAGTGCATCTATGCATCGTTCCTTAATTTCTTTTGTGGGTTTTAAGCAAGTTTTATAATCTCCATCATGATCTTGCCCATTTTCTTGTTATATTTACTTTCCAAGTCCTATCCTTTTCTACCCCTTTGCTTTACAGTGGCCAGGATCTGTAGCATCCGTTGAATAGAAGTGACAGTAGCACAATTTCTTATTTTGTTCCTGGTTTTAAAGTACAAAGAATCATAAGCACTTCTGGTAGGGTCTCTAGCCTTTATCAGGTGGAAAACTGCCTTCCTATTTCTAATTTGCTCTGCCTTTTGTTTTTGTTTTTGTTTTTTGGTTTTTCTTCGGTACCGGGAACCGAACTCACGACCTTGCGTTTGCCAGGCAGGCGCTTTTGCCGCTGAGCTAAATCCCCAGCCCCTTGCTCTGCCTTTTAACACCAAAGAATATTAGCATCTGAATTCCTGCCTGTTCCAGCCCTGATCTGCCTCTGTGAGCAGGACAGAGACATTAAGATGTTGTGAAGAAGCAAAGTCCCTGTTGGGGAAACTCATCTCCACACATCAGTCTCTTTGGTTGTGGAAAGAAGGTGCAACAGCCAGAGGGACGGAGTGTGGGTGGGAGTGACGACCCTGCTGAAGGCTTCTTGGAGAGGCAGGACTTGAGTTGGTCCAGGATCTCCAGGGTTATGGGGAGGAAGGACATTCACAGGGGAAGACCTGAGCATAGCCCGAGTTGGAGACATGCCCGATGGGTGGGCTGATAGAGCCGATGTGTGGCCATCTTGCCAGGGGGGCCCCACCTTCTCCCTCAGGCACCTGCACTGCACCAGGAACTACATCCACCTGAACCTCTTTGCCTCCTTCATCCTGCGAGCCCTGTCCGTCTTCATCAAGGACGCTGCCCTCAAGTGGATGTATAACACGGCCGCTCAGCAGCACCAGTGGGATGGGCTCCTCTCCTACCAGGTAGGTGGTGTGACCAAGAGGGAGACGGGGGTGGCTGGGGAAGGGCTGCCCTTGCTACTGCAGGAAAGGCAAGGAAAGGCAAGAGGCACCAAGCCTTGTGCTCAGGGAGCCTTGCATTCCCCTGGTCTGATGGGAATGCAGTCCAACTTAGGGACCCGCCAGTCTGATGAGAGGGGTAATCTACCCAGAGAGGCCCCTGACGGAGGGAGAAGACCCTATCGGGAGTTCTCAGCATAATGCAAGGGAGCAGTCTTTGGAGACAGACCTGAGCTTGAACCGCAGCCCTGCCGCTTTCTAGCTTTGTACGTCAGGGCAGGTCGCTGCTCTGTGGCTCACGTTCTCACCGGTGTGGGGATGGCATTCCAGTGCTTTCTGCCACGCAGGGAACTAAGGCAGACGGAGTTGTAGAGCGCCGGCCCTGGAAGGAAGACCTAAGCTCTCTGGCCCTGAAATGACTTTGGCAGGGCAGTAGCTGGGGCAGGACGGGGGTGGGTGTCGAGAGGGAGCAGGCAGGGCTGCTGTCCCCACAGACCCTCTGTGCGCTTCCCGACAGGACTCCCTGGGCTGCCGGCTGGTGTTCCTGCTCATGCAGTACTGCGTGGCAGCCAACTACTACTGGCTGCTGGTGGAGGGCGTGTACCTCTACACCCTGCTGGCCTTCTCCGCCTTCTCCGAGCAGCGAGTCTTCAGGCTCTATCTGAGCACAGGCTGGGGTAAGGCCACCTCCGCCCGAGATGAGGTGGGAGGCCCTGACCCTGTCCGACTTGATACTCAGAACACACCGCTGGGCCAGGGCCTGCTGTAACCTCCTCTTCTCCCTTAGCGGAAGCCTGCACAGCCCTCTGCCCAAATTCCACCCCTACCACTGCCCCACACGGCGCTGAGGTCACAGTCCTGTCTTTCAATTCCCCTGCTCCCAAAGTCCTGTGGAGCAGGAGCTCCACACCTCCCCTGGGGCAGCTGAGCCCCTGAGGGAAACGGTGAGTCCTGGGCCTTGGTGAGGAGGACAAGGAGAGGGCGGCAGGGTGGAGACCGAGACCGAGGCAGGCGGGATGATGACAGAAGGGAGGGTGCGGAGAGCCGCCAGGCCAGGGCGACCAGAGGGGAGCCAAGGAAAGGGGGCGGGGGGTGGACCGCGCATGTGCCTGGAGCCCAGCTGGAAATGTTCTGGCCAAAAAAGTTTGCCAAGAACCATCGTGTCTTTTTTTTTGCTGGAACATTTCTGGTTGTGCTTCTGCCTCTCGCCACGTGGGATTCTGATGAGGAGCAGGGCTGGGGCCCTGCATTGCCGGGAGCGCGGACGGCCAGCCCTGGCTGGAGGGACTGCAGGCAGCCGCCTGAGACAGCGCCCCCGTTCCTCGCCAGTCTGCCCGGGCAGCTAAGGTCCCCTTCCCACACCACCGCACCCTCCGCTTGCTGTTCATTCACTCACACCCCTCCTTCCTTCGGCGCCCACCTCGGGCTACTCCGGCCTCCGAAACTTCCTCCTGTCTTGCCTTTCACACTTCTCCTGCCTCCGGCCCGTGGAAGCCTGCTCTTGGCCCAGGAAGGAGCTGGGCGTGTCCTCCCATGTGACTGCCGGCGTAGCCCTCAGAAGTGGCCCAGCCTCCCTACCCTGTCCTTTATGACATTGTAGAATGTTAGCGCTACAGAGGTTTTGGCCAGGAGCTTGAGTGCAAGACCCAGAGAGGGAGAGGGCCTCAAAGGCAGAGCAGGCACTGGAGCCCAAGGCTCCTGCTTCCCAGGCCCTGGGTCCCCTGCTTGTCACGCACAGGGCTCAGCCTATGTCACGCCCCTCAGTCCCCTGCAGGCCCCATCAAGTAGGCTCAGCCCCTGTGCAGGTGGCAGGTGGGTCCGGCTTCCACACACAAATGCCAGCTCCTCTCTCCTCCCCAGGACCCTTCGCCCCTTCTAGCCCTTTCCTCCCCTTCCAGGCTTCTTGAGCCAGCCAGGCAGTCAATCAGCAGGGGCAGCTGAGAGGCCAGCAGCTCCCTAGGGGTGGGCACAGGGAGGAGCGGGCCATCAGGGGGCACTCGGGCTGTCCTGGGATGGATCACTGTGTCTGACCATCCTAGGAAACAGCATCGGTGCTGTTAGGGCCTATCACCATGGCAACCCGAGGGCAGGACCATTCAAAGGGTCGGTGTGGAGTGTGCAGGGGAGCGGGGTGGTTGGTTGGAGTTGGGGGCACAGGGTGCCCTGGAGGGCTCGGGGTGAAAGATGGGGGAGGGGTGCCAGTCCTTTTCCTACCGCCTTACCCCCAAGCTCAAGGCTCAGGGTCTGTGGAACAGCAGGGTAGGGGGCATCTCCTCAACTAGAGCATCTTTTTCTTGAGGAACTGGGGTGGGGAGGGGCAAAAAGAGACAGAGGGACAAAGAGTGGGAAGGTGAGGCCCTTACAGACAGACCTGAGGGCTCTGTTGTGAGGCCAGGTGGCCTGGACCAAGTGAGGACGCCTGGGAAGAACTTTTAGCTTCAGGCACAAGCAGAAGAACTAAAATTAGGACTCTGGCCCCAGACGCTCACAGGAGGGGCGGGGAGCAATGGGTGAGGGGAACATGACTTCCCAGAGCCGGCTCCGTGTGTCTCCCTTTGAGCTGCTCCTCCCCAGACTGGTTTGGTTTTCTAAACTGGAGAAAGATGCAGCCAGCAGGGAGTGCGTCACAGGGCGTGGGCTGTGCTCACACTTCTGCAGAAGACCCTGTGCGTGGGGATGGAGGTAGATGAATGCGGCTCACCAGACCTGGCTGAAGCACGTGTGAGTGCCCAAGAGGGCGCGTATCAGAGAGAGCGGTCAGCGCATGGCTGGCCTGTAATCCCACCTACTCAGCAGGCTGAGGCAGGAGGATCACAAGTTCAAGGCCATCTGGGCAATTTAGTGAGACCCTGACTCAAAAGTTAAAAAAAAAAAAGAAAAATGCTGGGAATATAGCTCAGCACAAAGCCCTAGGTTCAAACCCCAGTAGCGCAAAGAAGCAGAATTTCTGGACTTGCGTGCAGCCTGAGGGATTGGCGTGTTCTTGCCTGGAGATTCATTGACGCATTGAGGCTCTTCCCCCATTGATGTACTGATTTATCCATTTGCTCCTCCCGTCCTTGCCTGGCACTGTCTATGTGGCAAGATCCACGCCTGGGCACGTAAAGATCACTCTATTCCTTTATTTAATTTAACTTAATTTAATTTAATTTAATTCTATTTTATTTTATTTTATTCTATTTTATTTTATTGTTACCAGGAATTGATCTCAGGCCTCCTGCTTGCCAGGCTGAGCTACATCCCCAGCCCTATTCCTTTATATAAAAAATAAATTATGTGCTTTGTGTAAAATAAACGGGCCAGCTAGGTGTGGTGGTGCATACCTATAATCGCCGCACTCTGGGAAGCTGAGGCAGGATGATGACAGGTTCCAGCCCAGCTTGAGCAACTTAGTGACTAAGTGAGACCCTGTCTCAAAAGTAAAAGTTAAAAGAGTGCTGAGGATGTAACTCAGTGGAAGGCCCTGGTGTATACCCCAGTAGTGCACCGAAAGTGGGGGGATCTGATGAAGTCCGCTCGCCCCCCCCATCATCAAGTGCAGTACGTCAAAGCACAGGAGCTGCGCTGTAGCTGCTAGTGTGCAGATACCAGTGAGTCCAGGAGGTCCTAATGGTGTTAGGAAAGGCTGTGAAGTGGTTCCGCCCTGGAGACGACGTGCTCCTGCGGAGACCCCTCAAAGCCACCCACGCATGTGCACGGGTCCCTCTACCACATGGACCCGCATCCGTGTCCACGCGCCTTAATACTCACCCCCTTCCCTCTGTCAGACCCAAGAATCCAACTCAAGAGAGGCATTGCTAGAGACAGGCGGGGAGAAAGCTGGGGCTGAACGCTGTTGAGGGTGATTGGACTGGGTGTGGAGCCACAGCCCTGGAGTCCAGTCCCACCTGGGCCCTCCTGAGCTCCCGCTCCATCTCCTCACCTGTCCCGGGATGGTGGACAAACCTGGTTCAAAATAGTCAACCCAGGCTGAACTCTCAGGGCGACCCTCAAGGAACTGGGAGGCAATTGCTTTAGGGTTCTGTTGCTGTGTAACAAGGGCCTCCAGAACACAGCTGGCTAAAGCAGCTGATGATTACCCTGTCGCAGGCTCACGTTCAGGAATCGGGGTTCAGCGTCGCTGCGTACCCCAGCTCAGGGCCCCTAACTTAGATCAGTGACGACGTTGGCCAGCTTGCTCCATCTCAGGGCTTAACTGGCGGGTGGAGAATCAACTCCAAGCTCCCGCACCAGGCTGTTGGCAGGAAGCCTCCCTTCCTTTGTGCAGGAGCTTCTCTGAGTGACCCCATGGCGTGACAACTGGGTTCCCCCAAAGCAAATGATGAGCTGGGGTGGGGGGAACCCAAGACAAGTCTCAGAGTCTTTTCACCGGATCCTGGAAGTGATCATTACCGTGACTTCCGCCGTAGGTGACTGAACGCACAAACCAATCCCGATGCATTGCGGACCACAAAGCCATGACTACCATGACGTGGGGGTGGGTGTCTACCACACTCGTCAGCCCCGGGGTGTTAGTACTATAGTGAAATACCTGAGATGGCTGCCTTAGAAAGAGAAAAGGGTTATTTAGCCCACAGTTCTGAGTTTCCAGTCCAGGGTCAGTCAGACTCGTTGCTTTGGGCCTCTTGTGAGGGTGCCAGGTAGAAATGGTGGGGTGCACCTAGCTGAGCAAACTGCTCGCCTTATGCCAGGAAGCAAGAGGGAGGCTGGACAGGTGGAGCGGGTTCCTGAAAGCCTGTTGAGGGACAGGTCCTCAGTGACCTGAGGCCCTCCTACAAGGCCCCACCTCCTTCGGATGCCGCCCCCTAGCACTAGCCCCACCGTAGGGACCGAGCCTGTAATGCACCGGTCTTTGGGGGGATGCGAATCTAAGCGGCAGCAGAAGCCAGGTGGGGCCTCTGGTAGGCCTCTGTGGGTGGTTAGTTGTGCTGCCAGTATCAAGGAGAGAGCTCCTGTCTCTCACTCAAGCTTCTGCCCCAGCTGGCAGCAGGTGCACGGGCAGGGGGACAGAATCTGAGGGGTTTGGTGGCTGAGGGAGTTGGCTGAGATGGACACATGGCTGCAGGAAGGGGACCAAGGGCACCAGAGTTCCTCTGCTCCCCAGTCTGTCCAGCATGCCCTCCACCATGCATGGCCCTGGCCCTGTCTCTGCTCCCTGGATGTCCGTGTCCTGGGGAGAAACTCCGACACTGTACCTGTCCTAAGAGGGCCTCTTTCTAAGGAAAAGTCGGGGCGTTGGTGCGGGGCGTATGCCACCTCCAATCTCCCTTGCACAGACCAGTCTCAGAATAGTTTGGTGCCAGGCAAGGAGACCAGCTGGAAGTGTGAGGGCCCTGGGCACACATGGCAGGGGCTCTGTCCTGCCAGCCTCTCCCCTCTGTCTTTCCCTCTCTCCTCCTAGGTGTTCCCCTGCTGTTTGTTATCCCCTGGGGCATTGTCAAGTACCTCTATGAGGACGAGGGGTGAGTGTCCTGCTCCCGGGGGATCCGGTTGCTGAGGTTGCCATCCTTAAGGTCCACAGGATTCTTGGACCCTGGGGCACAGAGGCTCCCACCTTTGGGAGGATAAAGCAAGGGACTAGCAGCTTAATGTATGAACTCGAGACCCCGCCTCCCACCCCTGCCCCAGGGTGAGATGGTGGCAGTGGTGCTGGGTCCTTAGGTACGAGGCTTTATCCTGCAGGCTTTTCTGTAATGTTGGTGAGGGAAATTGTGTTGTGTATCGTGCTAGCTATACATGTGATTGTGTTTGTAGGTCCATGGAAGGTTGACTGTGGGCTGTGTGTAGCTCTCTATATGTGACCCTGTAGCTGGGAACTTGCGTGTGTGTGTGTGTGTGTGTGTGTGTGTGTGTGTGTGTGTGTGTGTACCTGTAGAGCTCCTGCATGGCTCTGCAGGTCTGGTTATTGGGTAGCTCCATGGCTGTGTGTATGGCGTACTGTGTGGCTGGTGTATTTAGGCCCCTGTGCCTGCAGCAGGAGCCGGGGGCTCTGCGAGTCCATCTGTCCGCATGGTATCTCTGTCCCTCCCCAGATGCTGGACCAGGAACTCAAACATGAACTACTGGCTCATTATCCGACTGCCCATTCTCTTTGCCATTGGGGTGAGTGAGGGTGCGAGGGTGCAGGTGGGAGTTGCGGTGCACCTGGGCTGGGGCTAGGGAAAGCACCGGGGAGGTGGGTGCGGGTCCCCAGCCACTGCCATGTGCTCTGCAGGTGAACTTCCTCATCTTCATCCGGGTCATCTGCATCGTGGTGTCCAAACTGCAGGCCAACCTCATGTGCAAGACAGATATCAAGTGCAGGTGATCTCACCAAGTGGGCTGTGCTGGGGCCCCCAGCCCTCCTTCCTGTCCAGAGAGATCCTGGGATGCTTAATTTGGAGCCCTATGTGACCCGCTACCCCTGCCCAGGCTTTGCTTAGGACCCTCACCCTGCCCTTGGGCGGCCCCTGAGCTTCGAGAGCTCTTGCCCTCTTTCCTGCCCTCCAGAAAGCCTACCCAAGGTCGTTTGGAGTGGAAGGGTGTCTGTGACCTAGATGCCAGGCCCTGGCCAGAGCGGGGAGGGCACAGAGCGGGGAGAGGAGTCCAGCACAAGGTCCAGAATGACCCTGAAAGTTTCATCCTGCCTCCCAGACTGGCCAAGTCTACACTGACGCTCATCCCCCTACTGGGGACCCACGAGGTCATCTTTGCCTTTGTGATGGACGAACATGCCCGGGGGACCCTGCGCTTCATCAAGCTGTTCACAGAGCTCTCCTTCACCTCCTTCCAGGTGACTCATGGCTGGGGGCATTTTGGGGGATATCCCCGGAGTGGGTGAAGGAAGGCACCTGCCTGCATCTGCGTCGTGCAGGTGGGAAAAGTGAGCGGGTTGCAGCCTGAGGGAGTGACCCTTGCCCAAAGCTGCGTGGTGGCGCAGAGCCAGAGTGACGGTCCCAGGTGTCCTGACAGCTGGCCAGGCTTCTCTGCAAGCACAAGGGACAAGAAGCCTTCTGGGATGCTCCTTAGGGGCTCAGCCTGGCATCACAGCTGCTGTCCACTGTGTGGTGGGCACCCTGCCAGGTGCTTTAGACACGCGACGCATTTAGTCCTCATAGAAGCCAGGAGACTGTGGCACATCCCGCGCTTCACAGAGGAGGAAAGTGGGGCCGGGGGCCATAGCTCAGGGGTACAGCGCCTGCCTAGCAAGTGCAAGGTCACGAGTTCAATTCCTGATACCAAAACAAAGCAAAACAAAAAATAAACAAATAACAGAGGAGGAAAGTGGGGCACAGAGATGGTAAAACAAGGTTTGCAGTCACAAAGTTCCCAAGCTGGGGTGTGAAAATATAAAAAAAAAATGACCCCAGCCCCTTGAGAGTGTTTGGGATGTGGATGAGTAGGGGCAGAGGGGAGGCATGTGTGTGCGTCACGTCTGTGTAGACACGTCACACAGATGGGACATGGATTGGGAGCACTGGGACCCAAGGGAGCAGGTGGGAGGGCTGGGGACAGGCCCACGCTCTTGGGCAGTGTCCTTCCTTGAGTCCAGGCTCCTGCGGACAGGACAGGTATCTAAACGGCTTGTGCAACATCTGAGCAAGGGCTCCCTGTTCCTGCAGAAAGGAAGTGGGAGGGAACCCCTGCCCATCCCTGGGTCTGCCTGGGCTGCCCAATTTGAGGAGGGCATGCTAGGGGGAAGCCCCAGGGCACGTTTCCCTGCTGACCTCCTCTCGTTTGCAGGGGCTGATGGTGGCCATCCTGTACTGCTTTGTCAACAATGAGGTGAGGTGTGAGGGGGGACGGTGGGCCCTGCCGGGCTGCTGCCTTTGGCTGGTAGGAGCCGGGCCCTGGGGATGTCCTGCTCACCCCACTGAGGCCCTGGACTTGAGCCAGCCTCTTGCCTGAATATACCCGTGGGTGTTCTGTGCAGGTCCTGTGTGGATGCTCTCTGTGTCTGCCTGTCTCTCACACACATGCACACGCACACGTGCAGGCATAGCATAATGGTATTAGAATTTAAGGAAGACCGAGCCTCACGTTTAGGGGTCCCTGGGTGGCAACGATTGTCTACTACAAAGTGTCCCAACACACACATGATCAAACCACAGGCTTGGGACTTTAGTAATGATCATGTCATTTAATGGCCATAGCCCTCCCCCGCAAAAAACAAAAAAACAAAAAAAAACACTGCTAAAATTCTGATTTCGTTATTCTCATTTTTTGCACCTGAAAACACTGAGAGCCGGTGAATATAGCAAAGCTGCCCCAGGCTTGGCCCGGAAGTAGTGGCAGATCCAGGATCAACTTAGTTTTGATTTAAAGAAGAAAATACTGTGCCCTTCGTATACACAGGCGAGAGCCCTGGTCCACCAGGGAAAAGGGGGTAGATTCCTCCAGTGGCTTTTGGGTGCTGGTGGGAGAAGGTGGTTCTTGCTGACCCCACAAAGCCCTCTCCCCGCTCTCGGAGAGGATCAGTTCCTAGGAGAAGGGTGTTTGTGCGTACCTGGGAAGGCCTCTCCCTCCAAGATACCAGGTTTGTGCAAGAGCAGGGCAGGAGCACCCCGAGCTATCAAACTGTATGTCAAAAATGCCACAGCGTCTTCCCCCTAGATCCCTTCCAGAGGGGAAAACAAGTAGCCATGGGGCAGGAGCAGGGCCACCTCGGGTCCCCCAGGGAGATGTAACCCCAACAGGAAGGACCTGGAAGGAGACCAAGGACTTGGTCAAATCCCTTCAGGCCCATGAGTGTGTGCCTCAGTAGGGCTAGGACTCTGGGGACCCAGGGACACTGGTCCTCAAAGACCTGACTCAGTGTGGCTTCCATGTTGCTGAGGCTGGGATCTCAGGGATCTTAGAGTCAGTACGTGAATTCCGACGTCTCACGCTGCAGGTGTGGAGGACGTGGAAGGAACAGTGGGAGAGGCCCTCTGTGTTTCAGGGGGCTGTGAGCCGTGGCTCAAAGAACAAAGTGTGAGGTAGCAGAAAAGATGCGAGGATGTGGCTCAGCGTCCAGCCTCTCTGACCCACGCCCGTTGCTTCACAGTTGAGCAACCTCATCTGAGGAACCTCAGCTTCCTTATCTATAAACAAGGGCTAGTAAGGCCTGCCTAGGAGTTCCCGTGAGGGTGAAGTAAGGTAAAGCCTGAACACCGTGGGAATGGCGAGCCAAGCATGCGGTTCCCTTCCTAGCTGGGTGCTGAAGACCTGCGCACTCCTCCAGGCTGCTGCTTGGCTTGAGCAGCCCTGTATCTCGGGCTGCAGGATGCTGGGGAGGCGATCCTGTCACAACCATCCCAGTGCGCGGTGACTCCCAGACACTGCGGCTAGGACATTTCAGAGGACACTGCAGAGAACATGAGGCTGGGCAGCTGGAGGGGAGGGGCGCTGCTCTGTCCCGAGGCCGCCCCCAGGTTCCCGGAGCTGGCTTCCGTGGGGCTCAGAGCGTGTGGCCTGCACATCCCTAAGAGGGAGGGAAACCTGCGCCTCCTCAGCCAGAGCGAGGAGAGTGCCGGCCCGAGCGCTGCTGCTTTGTGTGCCAGCCCGGGAGTGGGATGGGACGGGCGACAGAGTGGCCGGCCTGTACCCCCATGTGGTGACCAGGCGCAGAGGCTGGGGGGAGGGACTGAGGCTCCCTGCTGCCACGCGGTCACCTTCCCGGTCTAAGTGCTGTTTCCCACTTTCCCACCTCTGTCCCGCAAGGCCCTGCTACATGCGCTCGAGCTCAGGCTCCCCACCACCCTTGCAGGGTCTCTCCCAGGCTCCTGGCCTCGCCCCTTCTCCCGATTCTGTCCCTGAAAGCCTAGTCACCTCCCTCCCCACCCACCGTCCACAGCTGACCCACCTTTGTTGGGCGGGAGGGACAGCCACACTTCCCTGCTCTGATCTTGGCAAAGAGCCTGATCCCAAAATCGAGTTGCGCCTCCCTGGCCAGGCCTGGCTCTACACCCCGCTGGTCTGGCTCCTCAGTCTCTCCCAGGCTCGGGCCGTGAGGTCCAGGAGACGCTGCTGAGAGGCCTGGAAAGTCCAGTGTCCCATTCCTTTAAACCCACCCCGGAGACTACCCCCAGGCACAGGGGCAGAGGCATCACCATCCCTGGACTACCAAAGACACACGAGGCCCCTGGGCCGAGGCCACTGTCCCCAAGAGCTGTTCTCCTGACCCAGAGTTGCCATAGCAATGCCAGGTACTTGTGACCTGAGGAGAAAAGATGGCCTGAGCATCGGGGCCCTGTGGCTGTCGAGGCCTGCGTCAGCTGCTGGTGGCCAGGGGTCAGGCCAGGGAAGGGACGCAGGGCTTGGGGGTGGTTTTGCGGGAGCGCGTGTCTGAGAGCTGGAGTGAGGCGGCTTGGGGGCCTTGGGTTCCATACTCCCATGCTGGGTCACCCCGGGAAGAGCCTCTCTTGCTTCTCCCCAAGTGGAAGTGGGGCTGAGTGAGCTCTGTCAATTCACCCCAAGCCCGGGCTGGCGTGGCGCCTGGCCAGTGAGGGTGCTCAGGACTGTGGAGCTCAGAGGGCAGGGAGGAGACACGGGGCCGGGTCTCCAGGATTGGGCTGTTGTCTTTACTGCATCTGCTTAGCTGAGGGACAGCCTTGATGTTAGATGCCCATTTATTCATTTAAAGCACACATGGTGAGCCCCTGCTGCATGCTGGGCCTCGTGCTGGGGACGGGATGTTGAGAAGGGGAAGGCATGGTCCTGGCATTGAGGTGCTTGCTCGCCGACAAGCAGGGAGCTGTCATAGCCAGGGACAAGCAGGACCTCAGGGCTGCTGCAGGCCAGGCATTGGAGTGAAGCTGGATCCGGGTTCAAATCCTGCCTGAGACGTAGGGAGACACCTCTCCTCTTCCCCTTTAAGCAGGGAGTGACGACGGGAGGTCCTTCACAGGCTTGGCGAGGAAGTGACTAAGATAATCTATGGAAGATGCTGCGCACATAGGCCGTGGTCCTAAGGACAATCCTGATTATGGGGCCACCACAGAGATTCACAGAAAGTGCTGAAGGAGCTGGGGCAGAAGGGGAAACAGTGTCAGTACTTTACATCCTGCCTGGCCAGCCGGGAGCCAGCCAGGAGCCTGGCCAGCCGGGAGCCGGCCCAGAGCAGGGCGCCATAGAGAGTGCCTGCTCCCCTCCTTCCCTCCCCCTCCCCAGGCCTGGGCTCCATGGTGCCGTGTGGGATACCAGACCATCCTGGCAGGCTGGCTCTGGGCGATCTCAGCCGTACTCAGCACAGAAAAAGTTCTTTTAAGGGATGGCATGCAGCCACACCAGGCGTCTTGCTGGGCTTAGCTAGACGGATGACAGAGGAGAGGAGGGTTGTTGACACAGGGGCTGGTGGGGGGATTGGCAGAGAGCCCCTCACCCACAGCTGCTGGCAGCTGGCCCTCCTGGTGCTTGGGCTTAGAGGAGCCTGGGCCGCAGGCACTCCTTGCATGGAGGCTGCGGGCAGGGTCATCAAAGGACAGCAAAGGGGCTCTGGAGGGCAAGTTGATGGGAATAACACCCAGAAGAGCAGCCGAGACCCCTCTCCGGGAACCACAGGCCCAGGCTATGCCCGGGGGCCGTAGTGTGACCACAACCCTTGAGGAGCTGGAGCTCTGCATTTGTATCTTTCTGCCCTGAGCCTCAGCTGCTGGACAAGGATTTTCCTGAGGGAGGCCAGGCACGGCACAGCAGGGATTCTTCTGGATGCTGAGCTCCCCGGGCTGACTGCACCTCCATTCACCCCAATCCCCCGAGTGGGACTGGGCCGCAGCTTGTCCCAGCCCTCTAGCTTCCTTCACTCCTTCCCGGTGAGGCTCAGGGGCCGGAGAGAAACCCCAGGGTTTAGATGGCCTGCAGCAGGCACCACGAGGGGTAGGGGTGTGCTGTCCTCTTCGGCTGTCCCAGCTGCGATCAGAGACACATTCTCAAGTCAGATTCCCTCCTCTCCCATCTCCTGTCTCCCTGAATCTCTCCCTTGCTCTCCCTCTCTTCCGTTAAATAATGCTGTGATGGATTGTAAAAGGTACTTAGCCGAATCAGACTTTAAGGATGGAAAGGACCAATTAGTTCATCAAACCCATCTCTCTGCTGAGGAGAGGCAGAAAATAGGAGACAACAATAAACAATTTTATTGGGATATTAATTTAGGTGCCCGAAGGCCTTGACTCATGTCTGTTAATATAATGCAGTGGATTTTTTTCCCTTCCCCACTAATGTAATAATGGGGCCATTTTGCGAGCAGTCGGTTTGCGTGATGGCTTTTGTTTCCCCTCCTTTTCCCACGGAAGGTCCAGATGGAGTTTCGGAAGAGCTGGGAGCGCTGGCAGCTGGAGCATCTGCACATCCAGAGGGACAGCAGCATGAAGCCCCTCAAGTGCCCCACCAGCAGCCTGAGCAGCGGGGCCACCGTGGGCAGCAGCGTGTACGCCGCCACCTGCCAGGCCACCTGCAGCTGAGACCCCAGCACTGCCCTCCCTGCGGTCCTTGCCGCTGGCCCAGTGGCCACGCCAGGTGGGAGAGAGCCTCCCGGGGGAAAGGGAAGGAAGGGACACGCGCACACATCCCTGCTTTCCCTCCCCACACCCACCAGCCAGGCAAATGGGCAGTGCCTCCTGGGACCGTGGACACATTTTCTCTGAGGAGAAGCAGCCTGCTAATTTGATCACTGTGGCAGGAGGAGAGGAAAAGCGATTGCTGCTAAAATGAGAAGGAGTTCTTCCTGTTAAGCCACAAGGCCCTTGGGGTTCCCCCAGGTGGAGCAGCAAATCAACCCCAGACTCAAACTCAAGGTCAATGGCTTGTTAGTGGGACCGGGGCTTGGGAGAGGAGGTGGTCCTGAGAGAGGCAGGTGTACCCTCAGCCGAACAGCTCGGTGATGTGGGCAGCTGTGCTTGTGCCCAGCTGGGGTCAGCCTCCTCTCCAAGGGGAGCTCTGTGTGCATCTGGGCTACTTGTTTCCCTCTATTGCCCTTCATCCCACCACCAGTTTCCCCTTGAGAGCTTTGTTGGGGCCACCAGCCGTGGCTGTTTCTGGAAGTGGCTATGAGTGGTGATTGGAATAAACCCGGAGGAAGAGTCTGAAGGTCTCCTTTGCTGATACCCACTTCTCCCCTAGGTTCTGAGTTGTTTTTGTGCCTGCTTCTGCCATACCTGGGATCCAGGGCTAGGGCCAAGGAGCCCAGCCCAATTCTGTCCTTGAAAAGATGCTCAAGGATCCTCTGGGGTTCATCTAGTGACACTTAAAGAATGTCCCCACTGTGGATGTCAACGACCTGCTACTCCTGGGAATCCAGAGGACTAGGCGATCCTTTGTGGAAATGCTTTCTATCTATGACCGGATTCCTGTTCTTGAATGGGAGTTGGGTGCATCCCCTAAATCTAGGGGATGTGACCGAGACGAGACTCCAGGGGAAACCAACAATCCCCATCATTACCATAGCAACAGGCTCCCCCTGCCCTTGGGGGCTTGTTTATACTTTATTCACTTTTCTTTATTGCTGTGAATAGTCTGAATGTACAAATGTGCAATTCTCATTTCTCCTACCTGATGGAAACAAAAACTAAAATATGGTTATTGTGATTATGCGTGGAGGCACCGGGGGAGTAATGAATTTGACCCACCCATACTTTGAGCTAATACACGTTCACCCTGCCTCCAGCCTCATCCCATAAGTAATGAGCAGGAGAAAGGCTGGATGAGGAAGAAAAATCTACCATGGCCCCAGCCGTGAAGAGAAAGCAGACTCTTAGCAGCACTGCAGAGACCCAGACAAAGGAGGACAGCCGTCCTGGGGAGGCAAGTGATGAGTATGCGGAGGCAACAGAAGCTTTTAGAGTGGGAGAGAAGTCCTGGGAGGGCAGAGGGAGAGGACAGATTCCCTTGTGAGTTAATTCCCCTTCCTCCTCTTTTTTAAGTGGTAGGAGACCCTCCCTAAAGCTTACACCACACACATTTTCCTATGCCCCTCAGAAAGGCGATGATGTTCAGGGGAAATAATAACAGAACATAAAACGCACCAAGCAGAAAATTTCTTATACTTGAGCTTCAGTGAAGTGTTGTGTCTCTGTTAGTGGGGACGTGGAACCTCGGGCTAAAAAGAAGGGAACTATGCAGACAGGCTGTCCCCTGGACCGAGATAATGGGGCAGAGAGGGTGGGAGGCTCTCTGCCCCCTCAGAGCCAGGGCAGGCTTCCCCGAGGTGCCCCATGCTTGCCTTCACCCTAAGAGCACTGGTGGGTTGATGGGGGATCAGCTCTGGTGCAGGTATTTCAGTTTTAGATAAACTGGGTAATTTTGAAAAGCGTTAATACATTACACAGTAGCAAAGAAAAAAAACTGATGTAATCTGCCTGAAATACATTGTCAAGGGGAGAGGTTATGGGGGAGAAAGTCTTAGGCACCCGGGAAGGTCAGACAATTGGATCGAAACTGTCAGTGAAGTTCTCTTCCCAACCCAAACTGTTGACTCCTGGTTTCAGGAAGCCCCTCACACCCCTCCACCCCAAGACTTTTAAGCCTGAAGAAGTCTTTCCTTCACAGATACAGTCTAGATACCGAAGTGAAGAAATCTTTTCGCTGCTCCAGGACCTTGTGCTATTAATATTCATGTGAATGGCACTGCACTCCCTCCGAGCTATTCCAAAACTTGCCTACACTAAATATAGCTCCACCAGGTCTGGGAACTATCGAATGCAATGTACTTTGAAATTTTGCAGGCTGTTTACATGCCTCACGCTCTGAGTCTAAGCCTGGCACTTGCTGAGAACTCTGTTGCCTGTGTTCGCCCTGGGGTACAGTTGCTGACCAGCAGGGTGTCGGCGCTGGCTTTGTTTAAACAGCAGCCTGCAAGGTCCCATGGCGCCTGTGAATGCTGGCCAACTTCAGCACCCTGGCCAGCACCTGCGAGCCGGGCAGGGCTCCAACCCGGTCATCAGATCCTGCCCTTGCAGTCTGAGTTGCTAAATCAGAGAGCCGCGCAAGTCACACTGCAAAGTTGCCTTCTCTTTTTACATCTTTCTGGATTGAGGGCGTGGTTTTGAACACCTCCATGCACCTCACACTGAAGACCCCAGCAGTGGAGTTCTGGGAGACTCAGGGAGGAAAGATTTTGACGATCCCTCTTGGCCTGATCTCCAGAAGCAAGGGGGAAGCTCGAAGACCCGACTTACCTGAGGCACAGCACCGGCCTCTCAGCCCAGGGAGCCCTCCGGGAAGGTCAGGTGAAAAGTATGAATGGCCATCCAAGATATGCTAGGTAAAAGTCAGTAGTGCGGTCTAGAGTTTCTACTGAAGCAGAAACAGTGTCATCCCCTTGGTAACTTACACTGGTGAGAGGAGGAGAGGATCTGCTTACGGATTCTACTCCAGCACCTCATCCATCCTTGTCTTAAAAAGACAAAGTGCATCAGAACTCACATATGCATAGAAACAGCATGTGAGCTATTTGGGATAGCAAATCCAGCACTCTTAATGAGTTGCCTTAATTTTTTCAGAGTGTATGTGTGTACGAGCGCACTTTGAAAAAATTATACTGACAGCACAGAGTGTACTAAAAAGAAAAGCTAAAGGGTCTTGAATTCCCCCTTTGTCTCTCTAGTACTGTTCTCCCTGCAAACTGGGCAATTGTAAGAAGGCAAAAGATTTATATGATCTGAAGAGAAACCAGAGTATAAGCTGGGCAATTGTAGACCAGCAAAGATGGCACAGAGCCATGCAGGGCAAGGAGAGTCAGTCTGCATCAATGCCCTGAAAGCCTCAGTCACCCTCACCCTCACCCTCACCCTCACCCTCACCCTCACCCTCAGCCGTGCTGACCATATTTCAGCAGCTCATGGGTAGGAGAGCTCCCCTCCGTGACCCCATTCTGTCTTTTTCTTCCACCAGGAGAAAGAGCATTGTGTGTGTGTGTGTGTGTGTGTGCACGTGCACACATGGTGTGTTTGTCGTGTACAGAGCAGCATGAAGTTGGCATGAATCCGGAATTGCTGCCCCCACTGTGAAGGTCCTGGGGCTGCACCTCCCCAGGTGAGGATGGCTGGGAGTCTAAGCAGTAGATGCCTCCTCTCCATGCGCAGACAGGGCTTCCATTATTGCTAATGCCTGCTACGTGCTCGGGGAAGACAAAATATATTCCAAAGGTTTATTTTCCCTCCACTGAATTGATTCCAATCTACAGTGCTAACCCTGCTTTTGGCTCCTACAAGGCAAACTATAAAAATCCTCAAATAAAATACGTAGGCTTAGTCTGCGAAGAGAGCTATGTGAACGGCATGCTAAACGTTCACTAGGAACCAAATTAGTATCGACTCTTTTGTTGTTGTTGTTTGCTTTGCGTTTCCTTTTTGCGGCTGGAGTACGTTGTCCCGGGATAGCAAATGGCCCTATAAGGGATTTCTGTGGACATGACCGTGCCCCTGCGCTGCTTCCTGCTGGCCAGCATGAGCTCCGTGGCCCCATGGAGAGCCACCTTAGGGAGCGCTGTTAAGCAGTGTAATTTCAAACATTTGACTTCATGCCACAGTGTGTCTACAGTATCTGTAATTATTTCTGCACTGTCAAGGGATACAGATTGGCAGGAAACGGATAAGATCATTGTTTTCCAATAACTGCTCACGTCTCTTGGACTTCCCCTAGCTGAATCTCTCAGAGGGAAGGGACCTCTCTGCTCCTCTTTGGTCATTTTTGCCATGGTTTTTCAGGCCCTTAGCACTGCGGCTGTGTCTCCCCCGCACCCCATGCATCCAACACTGCTCCCCACCCTCCTCCCACACTGGCTGCCTCAGGAAGAGGTGACCCTGCTGGGGTCACTGAGAATGCTACTCAGCTGTGACCAATTTAGGGGTGCAGCTGAGAGTGAGGAGCTGCAGGGCTGAAACTGATGCACCACGTTCTCCACCCTGGCAGAGGGAGGGCACTGCAGCCAGTGGCCTGCGTCCTGACTTACACTAAGGAGACGCAGCCTTTCTGAGGGGCCTGTCAAACTGTCAGTCATTCGTCAACCAAGACCATCTAGCGTGGTGAATTATCGCTGTGTCAAAGCAATCCAGGAAAAGGAAAGCATGTATAAATGACAACATGGGGAGAAGAGAGCTTCCGCCCTGTGGACCAGAGAACAATTTCAGTTTTTGCCTTCTGTGCCCCAGAGCCCCTGGGAACATTACGGAAAGGGTAAAGTTTACCCCCTACAGACAGGGCTAGATCTTGCCAGATGGTATACATTTTGCTTCCAGATGTACATTCTTCTAAGCTCCTCCTGTGAAAATAACCACCACCTCCTTGAAGCGGATGGACTTCAAAAACTCACTGGTTTTGGAGGAATTTGATGCAGGTCTGTTTTTTAAATAAGTGCACCTAGAGAGGGGTGACCCAAGCTTGCACAAGGGACAGAGCTAAATTTCTATCTTCAGTGCTCGGGGGGCATGCCTGCTCTTCATGAGTGTTTAAACAAGATCATTCCATGTGATTTCTTAATGTATAAATTTGTGTAAAATATAGGCTGCACCTGAAGATAGCAAATGTGTATGTTGTATAATTCCTTGTATGGATGTGAATGGGTGCAGGCTCTTTCCTAATTTGCCCTGTAAGTCAAATAAAAAGCCTGTCACTACTGTGTCTCTCTTGCTCTTCCTTTGGGAGAGGAGGTTTTCTGCAGTGTCAACCCAGGTGACTCATGGTGCAGAGAAAACACAAAAGACGCCAATTCCAGCCCAAGGAAAAAAGCCCTTGCTCGTTACTTATCCCATGATTCTCATCTTCGGAGCACTTACCAAGTACTAATTTGTCCTCTGCAGCCTTTATACGGGGACTGCAATGTCATTTAATTAGAGAAGTTGGGTGGTCGAGTGGCTTCAGCAATGACGGATGGCCAAATGGATGTGTATTCTAATTCCACCCATTCATTTGATCTCCCCTGTCCAAATGAACTCAGCCCATTAAATCCATTTTTTTAAAAAAATCATAAAAGCATGAGGCTTATTTGCAAAGGGACCACTGGATGTGAATGGAGCTGCTGTTTAGAGATGTATCTTCGGGAAAATAAACTTTAAATAACTGCCTCCTCTTGAGGTTTGCAATGCACTCTTACAGAAGAGCAGAGGAATTGCAGGTTCTCTCTGATTCCCGCACTAGTTCAGTTTTCTCTGTTTGAACATCAGTGTACGCATCTGAAGTTCTACACACACACACACACACACACACACACACACACACACACACACACACACTCTTTTTCGGCAAACCGTGGCAATTATCTCTGACAATCCTCAGGATTCTTGTTCTGGAAGCAACTCCTGATGTTGGCAGATAGAACATCTGCGCTCTGGATCCTCTGCACTAGTCTGGCTTTGGATTCATTCGCTCCCTGACTGATGTTCTCGCCTTTCCGTGCCTTTCCTCTGCCACGCACCAGGAGCAAAACAGGGTTTCTCTCTCTCCCTCGCCTCCCAGGAAAACACGGGCCCAAACCAAGTAAGGACCACGAGGTTCCGAGGGAGGTGTGCATCAGACCCAAGGGTAAGCCCT